CGGTTTATTATAATGTTAATTCAGATACATCAGTTTATTATAATGCTAATTTAGATACATCGGTTTAATAATGTTAATTTAGATACATACTAGGATGAATAGCGTTATGTTAAGAATAAAATACCTTTTAAAGTGATGTGTATTTGTATATTTTCTCCCACCAGGTAGCCGTATGGCAACAAATCTGGAATATCCACATCTGTAATACAGAATATCCAAAGATATCAAAGAAATATCCACATCTGTAATACAGAATATCTACAGATATCAAAGAAATATCCACATCTGTAATACAGAACATCCACAGATATTAAAGAAATATTTACAAAATACTAAAAACAGTAATTATCCAACCGAAAATTAAGGAACAAATTCAGTCTTTTATTAGAACAATTGAAAACTTTTTCTCGTATTAGATGTTTCATGTACATTCATTAATTGCTATATATCCCTAAGTATATATGTGTAGTTCAAATTATATAACAACTTGGAGTATCTTACAAATTTCAGTACTATTTCATCATTATCTTAACAGAAGTCATGATACTGATAGATTAAATTGCATCATTTGTAAAAGTAAATAACCTTTTTGAACTTCACACACGAGCTTTAGCCACAAGTATTTTTTACCACCGTTTGAACCCTTTAATATCCTCGTAAGTTATCCAAACTTTTGCCTTTAATCAGCAGAGATAAGAGCAGGGAGGGGGGAGGCTGTACTTACCTTTTGAACGCAAAACATTGTTAATGTGGTAACTGAGAACGCTTTCCGCATTTAAGCCTAAGTTGGAAACAGGGTCCAGCCTGAAGACGTATTCCTGCAGGCATAGAATAAACCCAATTTTCATCAAGTACATCTGATTGGTGAAATATTTTACACAATGACAGCAGTCATAACTTAATGAAAAGACTGTTTAGAGTGCTAACATTTACAACGAGTAAACAAAAAATTACATATTAAGTTGATCAATTTTTGTCAAATTTCTATATTTCTATTAAGAATAACTCTGGAACACTATTTTATACTAAATCTAAAGTTCCCTAGTGGGACAGCAGTAAGTTTACGGACTTGTAATGCTAAATCTGGGATTCGATTCCCCTGTAGTGGACTCAGCAGATAGCCCAATGTGGCTTTGCTCTAAAATAAACAAGCCAAATCTAAAACTGGTACAGATGTTTTAAAAACTGGTTTTTAAATGGCATAAATACAGAGAGTAACATTAAGATATTTCTAGACATATAGAATCTAAACAAGAAACCATCCACTTTTTTTTTTTTCAAGAGTCAAGTCAATATTTTTCCTATTTCTGCTCGAGTGATAAGATAGAACTTACACTCATGATTTAGCAACTGTGTTTCAATGACAAAAAATGATTGAATCTCACCTTAAATGCTTTTTTGACTATGTTATCCAGCAAGTCCCATTTGGTCCTTCCACTCACAGAAACAGATCCTATGATCACTTCTTGTGGAAGCTGTTAAAAATACAACTTAGCTTTTTATACATAATAAGTAACTATAGAAACACACACACACACACACAAAAGTTGTGAAATGCTATTTCATAATGCTGCTAAGTTATATAAAATGTTTTTTGAAGGAGGGGGTACACAAACTAAGAAATGTACTGTTGATTTATAAAACTGTGGGACATGGCTCAAAATGCATCTTCAAACATTCTTTTGATGTCACTAAACACTACATCAATAAGCATCATGTAAGGGAGATGTACTTTGGGGTACTAAAAAGTTTGTAAATTTGTTCTTTCACTTTAACAGAATCGTTACAGTGATTTTAATCAGAGGCAGTGCAAATAAGAAGCTTGGAAAGGCTTAGCCTCCTTAAATACTGTCCCCAACAAGACATTATTCTAACCAACTCAAAAATATTATACCATATAAGTAGAGAGAGAGAGACAGAGAGAGCAAAAGAGGTGTATGTGCAAACTGAATCTCTTTAGTTGAACAACTACCAACATGTGACAGAATAGCCTATCCGAACAAAAGTCTCGCATGCTGCCTCTGGCTTTGATGTTTATTTTTAATGCCAGATAAGCTACTATAAGGCATCGTTCGAACTATAAAATACTTTTTTTTTAATCTTGGCAGAAAATTACTACAATTTTATTTATTTTCTTCACCACACCTAATTAAAAAAACATCAAACTCTACAAGTAAAATTCACAATGAACCATAATGATGATATCAGGGAAAAAATATACCTCTGGCAGTGTAGTAACTTTGCGATAATCACCATGGCAACATAAGTACGTTGAGATGACGACTCGCTTTCCTTCTCTGTCTATTGCTGCATCAGTGAGATACATATCTAGAATCAGAGAAAAGAAACTTATACCCAAGTAAATCTGCCAAGCAGTTAGGAACACACGTTTGGCATTAATTAATTGTAAAATGGATGAAACTGAATAGATAACATTATTGTATACTCATGATCTTCATCAAGCTTTTGTACAGAAGTCGAAAATAAACTTACTTTAATAATAATTAAGGAAAAGTGAGCACCACAACCCTACCATACTTAAACTTCCTTTACTGTTACTGATTTTCACAACAACATCTTTGAAAGAAGACTGTCATTAAGCTATGGTGATTGTATGAAAAAGGTATGGCTATGAAGCGATGCTCAATCTAAAGTAAATGTATTTGTTTTATTTATTTGTTTTAAATTTCGTGCAAAGCTACCCAAGGGCTATCTGCGCTAGCCGTCCCTAATTTAGCAGTGTAAGACTAGAGGGAAGGCAGCTAGTCATCACCACCCACTGCCAACTCTTGGGCTACTCTTTTACCAATGAATAGTGGGATTGACCATCACATTATAACGCCCCCACGGCTGAAAGGGCGAGCATGTTTGGTGTGATGGGGATTTGAACTAGTGACCCACAGATTGCGAGTCGAGCGCTCTAACCACCTGGCCAAGCCTGGCCGAATGTATTTGTTAATATGTTATTAAGTTTTTGTTGATTTTTAAACAGCAGGCTAAGAATAACGGGCATATATATTTATCCACCAGAGTTGGTCCTCTAACAATAACACGCCGTATCTGAAGTGCCCTCTGGTTTCTCACTTTATTTGAGCCAAGACCTCTGGTGACTTCCACCCGTAATTGATTGTATTCATACTGTCAGAAATAAATACTGATATATCAAAGTTACTTAGTTCTGTATGTTGAGATTTGATCCTCTGGTGACTTCCATCCGATCAAATCTCAACATAAGAACTAAGTAACTTTGTGGGTCTGGAGCACTTTGCTTACCGACATTAGGAGTGCTCGAGTATTCTGGAGCACTTAATCTTTTCTCTAGACTCTCCAAACTTGTCCTGAATGGTTCTGAGCTCTGAGATGAGTTTAAAGATTTACTGACCACAAGTCGTTGCAGTCGTTCATTGTCTTGTTTGAGGTTCACCATCTCTGCCTGCAATTTTACAATATATGATTTTACTGTTACTTCAAACCAAAACCTAACTATTTAAATAAATGGTTTCCTGTGATACTCTCATACTAAACCAACTTACACGGTGTTTGTGTTCTCTGCAGATATTTTATTAAATATTTCTCACCTTAACATTGGAACTAACTATTCTACTGAAGAGTATTTAACATAATTCTTGTATTGGGAATGAATTTTTCTGAAAGATATTAATACATGACTTGACGTTCTCATCTTAAGAAGAAACCAATAAGGAGGAAGAAAAACTCGTCATAAAATTAGAAAAATAAAACTCAAGATAACAAAGCAGAACCTCAAAATTAATAACAACGATTATGTAAGATCTTTAATATGATATAAAAATTAAACTTGATGCACTGATTTCATTATTACACATTGTTATATTTGGATACAATTTAGGTCTTTTTTTGTTTCTTACCTTCATCTTATTAACTGTATCTTTCAAGCTCTCGAGCTGATGAGCCGACGTTAGAGCTTCAAGCCTAATATCTGTAAGAATCATATCTTTTTCCCGTAGCTGCTTCTTTAGGTCTTTGACAACTTCCGGAGCATTCTCTTCATCCTTTTCATAAATTCTGAAAACACAGTGAAGACACGATAGCCTCAAACGTATAATCTAGCTAAGGTTTGAAATAAATAAGCAAAGAAACAATAAGAGTTCAAAGATGTCCTTGGCATGTTTATTCATAGCTAGGACTAAAAACGAGCCATAATTTTACCAGACTTGCTCACGAGTGAAAACCTATTTACCCACCACATATATATATATAGATAATCATTCTACTCATCCAACATTCATGTAAGTATTCATTCCTAAAAGGTTTAGTGAAGTTCTGGTTATGTTACAAAATACCTACTGGACAGTAGGATTCAAATGGAGCCAACAACATCTGAAATATAGGGATCATATGTAACCTTACAACAAAGTTAAATGAATTCTCTTGAAAAATGAAGGAGGAATTAATCACAAGATATACAACACTTGAAAAATTAAGAAAAATCTAATAAAGAATTTAACTGTTTTGATGATACTTACGCTGACGAGGAGTGAGATGATTTTAACGGCTGTCCTAAAACACCATTACTCATTGGATGAGGACCTAGTAATGGTGAATTTGGAGTTGAAGAATCTGACTGGATATGTTTCGAGTCTTCCACGTCTGATACCGACCCATTTTTGTTCTTCTTGCTTCGAGAAAAAGCCTTACTGAATGAACTGCGTAACTGTAAGATGAGATCGCACAAATCATTAGGATTAAATTAATTGACATTTAAATTATTAAAAACAAATAACATATAGAAAGTTGTTCTATTAAATTAAAAAAAAACCTTCTTATGAGTTTGATATACATAAAATATTGATTTGGCTTAAGTCAAGTGATGTGATACACGTCTTAACGAAAAATAACAGATCCAGGGCTTCGTGATTACAGATATATTTTACCGTATTCATTAGTAGTGGACAAAATCGAATGTCAGAGCAACCAATTCATTCTAAATACTTTTATTAAAAATATATACAATTGCTATTGGAATAATAGACCAACCCAGCCTTTCTTGTTCTTCTTTCCTTTAATTCCAGAAATGTCAGATTTCATAGAACTCCCACTCGTACCACTGCAAGCACTTGACTGGGAGTTAACACTTGATACGGAATCTGTGGACATCTGCCTTGACATCTTACTCTGCATGGCTGAAAACACGTGATTTAAACACAAACTGGAATGATTAGTGATCACCTGGTTAGCCTAACCAGAGAAAATTTGATACACACACATATACTAAAAAACAATGACGAACCAGAACCACCAATTAAACATGAATTTCCTTAAAACTTCTACAACACAACAGAAAAACTTATTAGGAAATACGATAATATCAATGTTCCTAGAATGACATTTAATACTGTTTATTGTTTAACATCAGTTGTACTGTAACTGCATTGTTTAACATCAGTTGTACTGTAACAGCATTGTTTAACACACTATTATCAGTTGTACTGTAACAGCATTGTTTAACACACTATTATCGGTTGTACTGTAACTGCATTGTTTAACACACTATTATCGGTTGTACTGTAACTGCATTGTTTAACACACTAATATCGGTTGTACTGTAACCGCATTGTTTAACACACTATTACCGGTTGTACTGTAACCACATTGTTTAACACACTATTATCGGTTGTACTGTAACCACATTGTTTAACACACTATTACCGGTTGTACTGTAACCACATTGTTTACACA